CGGTCTAGTCCGCTCAGATTGCCTCTGATGGCCTAGGTCAGTGAGCAGGGGCGGAGCCAAGGGGGGGCTGGGGGTGGCCATGCCCCCCCCTAATTTTTTGGAATTTTTTTTCAATATAGGTAAAAATAAAAATAATATAGTAGATATGGTAGAAAATCTATACTTGGCCACCCTAAGGAAAAAAAAAAAAAAAAAAAAAAATTCTTTCTTTAATTAGCATTTAACAAAAGATAATTTATATATAATCTAAAGGAAAGTGATTTAATTAATTAACTATAGAATTCCGATAAAATTGACTCATAAAAATTTAATATGACTATCTTAAAATTTCAACTCAAACACAGTTCTTTCCGTAATATGATTATCTTAAAACCCTTGCAACTAGTGTTTCCATAACCTAATTATCCTAAAATTCCATTTCACACATGATTCTTTCCGATCACTTTTTATTTTATTTTATTTTATTTTTATTTTTATTGGAATGCTTTTATAAGAATTCTGTAAGAAATTAATTTTTACAAAATCTAGAATAAAAATTTCATTTAAAGTTTTGAATATCAACAAAAATCGATAATTGAATAATCTAAATTCTTATTAATTTGTTTGTGTGTTTTTTTTTTTTTTTAATCATAGTTATAATTTTTATTGATATATTGTGTAATGATTATTAATTTGTGCAAGTATTACATGAATTCATATTTTTTTATAAATTAAAATCTAATTGTTTAATTAAATTTTTTATAATTTTGGCATTAATTTTATTTGTGTTTGTTCAGAAAGTTTGATAAAAAGTTTGTTTAAATAACTATATTTTTTTAATTTAAATAAATTGGCAAAAGTTTAGATAGATATATTTTTGTATGAATACCTATGTAATTTTTTTTTTCCCCCAAAAAGTTCTAATGTTGCTTATAATTTTGGCCCTCCCAACCTCAAGATCCTGGCTCCGCCCCTGTCGGTGAGGTATTTGGCCAACTCGCCCTTGGCTATCAAGGCCTCTACCTGTCTTCTCAGACTCATGCAATCATTGGTTAGGTGCCCCAAATCACTATGGAATGCATAGTGCTTACTCTAATCCCTTTGGTCCATTGACTGTCTGATTGGTGGAGGGATTTCGAATATTTTCCTACCCTTTGTCTCATGATATAGTCTTGCCAGCGTGGTTCTGAGAGGTGTGACCTTTTCTGTAGTTTGTGACCTCTTCTCAGGAACTCTTCCTTCGATACTCGGGAGCTCTCGCTGGGCTCTCGAGGTGCTCAGCCATTTTTTCGGTCGGCTTTCCACCATACCAGCGTCTCCCTCTGTTGCCTTGTCATCTTGTTCTCTTCGAGTCTAATGTAATTATGTGCCTTTGCATTCAACTCCGACATGTCCGTTGGAGTTTTCTCTGCTAGTGAGGAGTGAAACATGTGCCCTGTAGCATGGCTATTTTGAATGCCTCTATGACTGTAGCTTGATTGCAGTCTGGAATACTTGAAGATTCCATGTTGAACCGAGTGAGGAAAGTCTAGAGGCCTTGCCCTTTCATCTGTCGAATTGTGAAGAGACTGAAGATGGTTTTCTTTTGCTTCTTGTTTTCGCAATACTGGGCTAGAATGCCGTACACAATGTCTCGAAGTTTGAGATTGATTTGTGTGGTCGGTTCTTGAACCATTCCAACGCCACCCCTGTTAGACTGGATGAAAAGATTTTGCACATAAATAGGTCGTTTCGTGCTTCCACAGTCATTTCCTAGCTGTAATGATCTAGATGCTAGAGGGAATCACCAGTCCCATTGAACTTGATGAATTTTGGCATCATGAACTTCTTGGGCCTTTCGACTTGTTCTATTTTGTCTGTCAATGACTATAGAGGCGGTAAATTCCCGTGCCATGTCTTCTGGCGTTTGGGCCTTCGGCCCTTTGACGCTCGTCTGCTTCCCTTCAGAATTTTTACAAGGCATCACTTTCTGGCAACTTGTGATCTCCACCTGGGACCCAAGTACTCTTTCTTCCCGACTCAGCATAATCTTCCAGGGCTGGAGTCCTTGTGGCTTATGGTCCTCCCAGTGTGGAGTTTGCCATGACGTGGGACTGATTTGCTGTTTCATCCCCATCGTTCCAGTCCAGAGTGTCATATTGCATATTGAGTTGCTGCCAAGGAGCCCTCGGCTGCTAAGGAGGGTTGTTGAGTACTTGGGTGTGAGAGGTGCTGGAGGTGGATTCATTGGCTCGTTTTGATGTTCTGGTTAAGGGCCGAGCGATGGATTGACTTGCTAAACGGTACCCCGGAGTCCTTCATTTTGGCACAGAGCATTGATTTGTGCTACGTTAGCCTCGTTGGCTTGTTTCAACGCATTGATCTGCTCGATGCTAGCCTCATTGGCTTGTCGCAAGATGTCAAAACTATGTTTGCATCTCCTCGCGCATTTTTTGCATGATTTCCTGTTGTTGTAACTGTGCGGCGCCATTCCGGAGCGATGTCGCATGAAAGAGATAGTGAAAGACTTTTCGTAAAGCTTCCCACAGACGGCGCCAAAGTGTAGGTGCAGAATTTAACACCAAAACACTTATGAGAAATACAAAAATTATAGCCAGGATAATATCAATGAATTGAAACAACTTAGATAGAAGAAAATCAGATAATTGGAATTGATGCCTTTTCTCCTCTTATTCATCTCCTTTTTATATGCTTATACAGAGCTTTTCTTGGGGTCGTTATTGACAGTTTTGTGCGTGGGTAATCATGGGTCCTATTTACATGCAATCACCCTTTATGGCAGACGTTATGGGATGTTTGAATGAGAGTGGGACGGGCTTCCTTTGCTCGGGCCGGTTTGTCATTTTAGGGGTCTCCTCAAACGGGCTTTTGGCTGCTTTGGGCTTTTGGGCTAGTCATTCTCATGCTGGGCCTTTATTGTTTTGTGGACTCGTGGCGTGCTATATTGCCGTGAATGGTGGGAGAATTTCCCTCCATGACCCACGAACACGAATTGCCACCCCTATTCAAGACCCATTAGTTTTAAGGATGGAGCTCCAAACAATGACTTGTTTAGAAGTGTCGCGCTCTACCGACTGAGCTAAGATGGCTCGTTTAATGTTTGGGGTAGAAGAATAATATAGCATCACCCCAGACAATCAGTTGGGCCTGTGGTGATTGATTTTCAATCTCGGCGAATCTTTACCATGTCCACATTCAAAATCATAATGATAATAAGTGGAACCCATTCTTTTGAGGCCTAGTGGAGGTAGTGGTATAAAGTTGCGCGAAATGGTGGCAAATTTTTAGACTTTAGACAAGTTTTTTTCTTATTTGATTAGCATATTTCTTTCCAAATACTTTTCAGGACAACAAATTTCACTGTTTCAAATGTTGAAGCAAAAAAAGTGTGGAAGTTATGAGATTAAAGAATTCATTTCTTCAATGCCCACTGGTATGCTTCTCATCATTTTCATTTCTAACCTCTAAAACTTACAGGAACTCTCACACCCCAACTTGAAATGGATACAGAGAACACTTCAGTACCAATACCCTCGAACACTTCTTCATTGTCCTCCTCTCCACCTGCTACAGGATGCGACTACGAAGTGTTCTTGAGTTTTAGAGGCCCAGACACTCGTAATAGCTTCACTGACTACCTCTACAATGACCTTATGGCTGCAGGAATTCGCACATATAGAGACGACAATGAGCTTCGCATTGGAGAGAAGATAGGTGATGAGCTTCTCAAGGCAATAGAGAACTCTAAAATATCCATACCAGTCTTTTCCAAACACTATGCTTCAAATAATTGGTGCTTGCTTGAGCTCACCAAAATGGTCTGTAACAACCCTTACCCTAGCCAGACACAATATTGTCCATTTTTGGCTCCCCCGAACTAGAGACTTCCTAGGGGGTCACCCATCTTGGTATACTCCAGGTTAAGCACGCTTAACTCCAGAGTTCTAGTGGGTTTACGGCCATCACGATTTTAAAACGCGTTGTCATAGAAGGGTGTTGAATCCATATATAGCACTTGCCCCATCCACACTCAGGCGATGTGGGATTGTGTACCCGTAACTCGCCCAGTGTGGTAGCCTACTGGTGCCACCTGCACATGCTCACACACACCCGCCCATAAGGTTGCCACAATCACCCTATTGTGGCAACCTTGTGGGAGTGTGTGCCGTGGGCGGGTGCGAGGCACCAGTAGGCTCCACACTGGGTGAGTTACGGGTGCACAATCTTACATCGCCTGGTTAAGGGAAAGGTGAAGTGCTTATATGTGGTGGTGTTATCTCCAATTGGTATGAGGCCTTTTGGGGTAAAGCCCAAGAGCAAAACCATGCGGGCTCGGGACCAAAGCGGAATATATCATACCATGTGGTGGAGTGAGTAGTTACATGGTCGAGTGTAAGATGACTTTGGAGCAAACCATAAAACCCATTTTCTATGACGTCAAACCATCCGATGTGCGACACCAGACGGGGAGTTACAAAAAGGCCTTCCAGTAACACAAGAAGAAATATGATAGTGCTACTGTAGATGGATGGAAGAAAGCCTTGAGGGAGGTTGCGGAATTGAAGGGATGGGAAGTTGCTGATAGGTAATTGTGTATAATTACTGATTCTGTTATTTTATTTTTTTTTTATTATTTTCGTTTAATGTAAATTTTCATTATTAGCACCGACTATGAACTTGTTTGCTTCGGTTATCTCAAATTAGACACTAGAATGTTTATTTATTTGGTAAGTAAATTAGACACTAGTTTAACTTAATTTACAATGGACAAACAAAAAAAAAAAATTTAATTTACAAACATGCAACATGTTTTTTCAAATTGTTAATCAAGTGAATTTTGAAACTACTTCCAATTTTTGAGTTTTCTTAGAATAGGCATGTATAAATATTTATTTATCGTTTTTCTCATAGATATATGTGACATCAATTATGGTTGGCGGGCATCAAGGAGCACTGGTAAAGGAGATTGTTTCAGTGGTGTGGGGAGAGCTGAAAAGAAACTCATTGGTTGTAACTGAAATTGTTGAGTGCCAATTTGAGTGATGTAAGGATTGTGTGAATCCATGGCATGGGTGGAATAGGCAAGACCACTATAGCCAAGGTCATCTACAACCAACTCTCCCAACATTTTCAATCCTGTTGCTTCCTTTCATATGTTAGAGAAACAGCAGAACGACATGGTCTTGTTCATTTGCAAAAGCAACTTAATTAGTACTGGGGATGAAGGAATCAAAGATAGATTTTTTGGGAATAAAATTCTTCTTGTCGTTGATGATGCTGATCACAACAATCATCTTCAAGCACTTTCACTTGTCGGAAAGTGTGATTGGTTTGGCTCAGGAAGTAGGATAATTGTCACAACTAGAAATAAAGGAATTCTAAATCTGGCTGGGATAGATTGGACTTGTGAACCAAAGGCATTGGATTCTATTCAATCTCTTCGACTTTTCAGCAGGCATGTTTTTAGAAGGGACCATCCCCTAGAAGACTATGAGAGTCTCTCTAGGGATGTTGTTTCCACTACCGGAGGGTTGCCTTTGGCTCTTGAGATTATTGGTTCTCTTTTATCTGGCAAGGGAAAAGCAGTGTGGAATGAGACATTGAATAAGTTGAAGAGAATACTGGATGGAGAAGTGCAGAAAAAGCTGAGAATTAGTTACGAAGCATTAGAATATGAACAACAACAGATATTTCTTGATATTGCATGTCTTTTCATTGGAGTGGATAAAAGAATTGCTTTCCACATGTGGGATGCCTGCGAATTTTATCCGGAAAATGGGATTGAAGTTCTTCGTCTCATGTCCTTAGTGAAAATTGGAGATAGCAATGAGCTAAGGATGCATGATCAGCTTAGAGACCCTTGGCAGGGATATTGTCCGTCAAGAAAATTTCAAGGAGCCGGGGGAGCGTAGTAGGGTGTGGTTGCATGATGAAGCCTTCGACATATTGGAGACTCATACAGTAAGATCCAACTTCTTCATGAATGGATGTCCCTTATTAAGTATTAATTTTCTTCTCATCTTATTAACACAATCATGGATGAACTACTCAATACTCATAAGTAGTCCGGTCTCATTATGGTCTTTTTAAGTAAGCCCCACTATAGATTTTTTCATCAGTTAGAATACTTACCCTAGCAGTTTCTCACGGTTCAGTTATATCTATCAAACTTCTTCTCATGGTTTTGATGTGATTGAACACTTTCAATAACACTTGAAATCAGGTAATGCTTTCTACTAACTTTCAATAATGGCTCTATTGTTCTTTAATTCGCTATATATATATATATACATACATTAATCTTACTACAGTTTATTTGTAACTATGTCAACTTATAAATGTGAATTTGGTTTAGTAAAAATTTGTAAAAAGAAAAATAAAGGGTTGAGTAAATTAATTCCATTTAAAAATAAAAATAAAAATAAAAAAATTAAGGAGCTCTTGTAACAGAATTTTACAAAAAAAAAATGATGAAAATTGATTAAATAAATAACCAAGTTTTCTAACAAAATTAGTAATATTGTATCTCAAGAACCAAAGTGGTGTAGCTTAATGATACTTTATTGCCTTCCAAACGAGAAGGTCAGGCTTCAAGTACCCATAGGGGGCATTGTGAGTGTATGAATGTATTTCTTTCCAATGAAAAAAAAAGGGGGAAGAATTATGGTTTATAAATAATTAACATATTCTCTTATATAGCAAAAGTTGAAATAATAATTGGAATTTTCTGAAAGAGAGTGAATATCATCATTAATGCTATATTTTGTGTCCACCATAGTTATAGCCTAGTATGTTTTTTACTTATCTAAAGGTTTTCTTTTGGCAGGGAACAAAAAAGGTTGAAGCTATCTGTATTAACTTTGAATCAGAGTCGCCGGCATGTTCTCTTACAAGTGAAGAATTTGCAAACCTATCTAATCTAAAGTTCCTTCAAATGGACTTTACAAAGCTGGATGGAGATTTTAAAGGTCGTCTTTTAAAGTTAAGATGGCTTCGCTGGAACGGATGCCTTCGAATTTTTAGACCAACCAATTTTCATCTAAAGAATCTGGTCATTCTTGATTTATCACGGAGCGAGGTCACAGAAGCCTGGGAGATTTGGAATTATATCAAGGTTTGTTCAATTTCTCTGCTTTTGTTTCGTCTGTCTCATCACATAATTCTCTGTAATTGATTTTAATCAATTCTCTTTTCCTTATTTCGCAGATTGCAAGAAAGTTGAAAGTTATAAATCTCACAGGTTGCAAATCCATAGTTCGAACTCCTGACTTCTCTGCACATGTAACTTTAGAAAGATTGATTCTTCGCGGGTGTTCAAAGTTAAAAGAGATTCAAGGGCTTGGAAGATTAGAACTCCTAATGGATTTGGATTTATCTGAGTGTGAATCACTAGTTAGGCGGTTACCCAATATTTCCAGCGCCTACGAGAAGTTTAAGGTATCATGTAGTTTGGAATGAAAATATCTGAATGAAATTGGGCGCCTTGATGGATTGGAATCCTATGAATGTATGTATTCCTTTGGGTGCTATTCCTTGGAAAGATTGTCTGACTTATTGAAATCCTTGAGGAAGCTGGACTTGTCATGTTGCATAGCCTTGGAGAGACCTGATCTGTTGGGACTTACAAATTTAGAGGAATAGCACCTTTGCAGGTGTAAAAAAATTTAAGGAGATTAGGGGACTTGAGGAACTGAAACTCTTTCTGGACTTGTCATGGTGCAAGGCGTTGGAGAGGTACCTGATATGTCGAGACTAACAAATTTAGAATTCTTGGACATTCATGCATGCAATTCACTAAGAAAATTACCAGACATTTCGAACATCAGAAGAATCCAGCAGGGACATGGTAATTATATATTTTCTGCTAACCCATGTTGTCCTTGTATGATTTTTTTTTCCCCCCTTAACTGGTTATTAATTGTGATTTGTTTCTCTGTTCCTTTTTCATATAATTGACAAAACATCCATTTCAGTTATCAATTGTCACTGCAGAATTATGCTGTACACTAGTATTTAGGCAGTTGAAATCAAGGTTGTTTTCTGTGTTAATCCCTATATTATATGGTTGATTAGGACAATGGTAGTCAGTGCGGTGGAGGAAAGAATAGTTTTGTTTCAGTCTTCCAGGGACAGATTCATGATCATTTTTCATGTTTTCATCGAAAAGGATTTTTTTTAACACGCAATTAACTTCTCTCTCTCTCTCTCTTTCTTCACAAAATTCATTGTCTCAACTCACAAAACAATGCACTGAGCTGCTCTCTGTTCGGCACAAAAAATTCACATCTCACCTCTGTGTGTGTTCTTCTTTTAGAACTCCTCCACTTCGAGATGATTTCGAGACTAATGCTCAGTTTGAAGTGAAAGGAGACATTGTTTCATAATTCCTATGGATGTTAGGGCTCAATTTCGCCGCTGAAGCTCTGGTTTCACAAAAATGCATGTCAAAAGAATGAAATATTAAAAATATCATAAACTCTAGAACTTCGAGACCCGATTGATTTGTTTGTTAGGGCTTAATTTCATGCATTCAATCAATCTATGAACTTAGAGAGACAATATTTGCTTGAGATAATCTAATACCTTGCAAGGTGAATTGATTATTTTGAGATCTAAGTTAGTTTCTTAGTTAGGGTTTGAGGTCATGTGGAGGACTTTGTGTATGGCCACTTGTGTATTTTTTATATATTCTCAAAATATTTTCGTAAGATTCCTGATAGCAGGATTTTGAAGCTTCAAATTATTTTCTTAAAGAATTTGAAAATAACAATTTCAATATATTTCCTTAAGCTTTGTATGATTTCTGGTGCAGGAACAGGTGGGAGACGTTCCTACCGCTCATATTAAAGCTGATTTTTTTTTTCACCAAGGTATTTTACTTGCCTTACCAAGTGCTAATGTGCAGAAAATTTGATATTTAAGATGCTTGAATATTTTTATATTATAATGGTTATATATTCTACTCAATTTTAGATATATATTAATAATGGTTATATATACCCAAGAAGTCCTCAATTCTGGTTTGAGAGATGGGAAGGACCAATGCTTCAATTTCTCCTCCTATGGGAAAAACACACACACACACACACTGTAATAAAGGTCTGATGTCATCGTATGTATACTAGGAGATTCTGGTACAACTTAATTAAATCATATTGTTTGAACCATTTTTTGAATTTTTATGCTAAAAGTGAAAACTAAAATAAAATAAATTATATTTGATGAGAAAAGCTCATTAAAACAAAAGCTCATATTTGATTAGATGGTATTTCTTTTTAAGGTTTGCATTTATTTTTGTAATACCACATAGCATAGGAAATTCGCACTTGTACTTTCTCCAAGTTTCCACTCCTAACCAAGTTTGAAGAAATGAAATGTCATAATTTCTTGATCACAATGATCAGTAAAAATTTCTTGATTATTAAAAATTGATAGTCGTCTTTATTTTTTTAGTTCCTACCTTTTGTTTATTACTGCATATATTCAATCTTGATATACAGGTACGCATGATTCGACGGAAAATGCAAGTCCTGCTGGGAAAACTAGTGGAGATAGGGAGATTGAAACAGAGGATGGTTATACTCACTGAGATTATACAGAATAGTTGTTATTGTTCTTGTCAAATGGAGTTAATTCCATATTTTATTCAATGCATGTACAGTCTTATAATGTTTTTCATGTCAAATTCCAATTTGCAGGTGTTAATTCTATTTTTTTGAAAATGCATGTACAGTTTGTCATTGCTTCATTTTGATTATTGTTCATTGTAGTACCCAAACTATTGGTATATGGTTGGACCATGGAACAAAAGGAACAGTTTCAATCAAAGGCTAGCCATATGTTATTAGCCAATACTCTCGGTTATTGTTATAAGGAACAACGGGGTATTTTGGTAAACACTGTTTGTTTTTTTAATTATTATTATTTTTTATTTTAACAATGATGATGAATGAAAAACAATACAAGAAAATTTTAACATGAGCATGTGTTTGACTTGCTGACTATGACATCCTCATATAAATTGAAAATTTTGTATCATGAAGTTGATTTTTTTGATAAATAGTAATATTGATCTGTAACCTCTTCCTCCTACCCAAAAACAAATTATTATTTCTTCAAATTTTCAACGTGAGTATGCATTTGCTTGGTGACCGTGACACCTTCACGAGTTTAAACAAAATATTTTATTTTATTTTATTTAAAGAGTTTTTAGTTTTAGGTCATTTTCTTTATATTTTTAGTTTACTTAAGTAATTTGTTTCTTTTTGTTATTAGTTTCCTTTAGGGTTTTATTTATTATAAAAACATGTACTAAAAAAATCAATTAATTTTATTATTAATATTTTAATTACTAAGTAATTCTTATTCAACTTTGTGGATTCAAGGTATTCTATATTTGGATTCAAAATAACCCTTGTTTCATATAACTTAGATAATAACAGGTATTGAGGTGTATAAATAAGATTAATTTGGTAGTTAAACAAAACAGTCCACAAGTTTTTCCCACAACAATTGGTCTATTATACCAATTAGGGTTTTTTTGTTAAAATTTTGGTGTCATCTCTCAAACTCTATTTGTTTTGTTTTACTAATATTTTGAATATGATTATTTAATTAATTGTTAAATTAAGTAAAACTAATTAAAATGGAAACACAAAATTTTAATATTTTTCTTAAAAACTTAAAATTTTCAAGTATATCTTTTGCAACATAAACTGTTGAAATTTAAACAATCCAATTGAAAATTTAAAAGGTAAAGATTTGCTCTTGTTATGATATGATGGTACACATGGCTTGCCATGTCATTCAAAGGAAGGGTATATTTGCATTTTTTTTTGGATACCCAAAACTCCCTTGGGCAGGGTCCTTTGGACCTATCTTAAAGTAACAAACTGAAAATACTACAGCCGGTCTCATAGCTACAACACCAAATTAATCAAGGAATATAATGAAGCATTGGGGAGTCGAACTCTGGACATACGAGAGCCAATCCTTACCGCTGGACGAAACCTTTAGGGGCATCAACATTTATTTTTATTATTTATTTATTTATTTTATGACTCAGAACTCCCCTAGACAGGGCCCTTCGGACCCATTCCAAAGGCACCAAATTGAAAATACGACAGTGGACTCTACAACTGTAACATCAGATTAGGCGAATGTGATAAAGGAGGGGACAAAGCTCGATCCAGGGCTGATGGATGCCCAAGCTAACACGTTACCATCTCATCCACGGCCCGGGGGCATCAGCATCTCCTCCTCCTCCCCTTCTTCTTCTTCTTTTTTTTCATTTTTTTTTTTTTTTGGTTAAAAATCAGCATCTATTCTTACTCCCGAAGAAACATCTATTCTTACTCCTGAAGAAAGCACATGTTAGTGGGTCGTATCTTCTTTTAACGGGTCAGGTAGCATTATTGGAAGACCTACTTTCCCAAATCCTGTCTAGGTCACATAATTTCCATCACGATCAAGAAATTGAAGAATTCATTTATTCAATGCAAGCTGATCTTCATTTCTAATTGGAATGGATACAAAGATCTGGTTATGGCTATCTTGTCTCATCACACTTCTTGCAATTCTCCTCCCCTTACTTGTGTTCATTATCAAGAAGATCAACAACACTTCACTACCACCTTCAGCACCACCCTTGAACAATACTTCAGTAACACCCTTGAACAATTCTTCGGTATCACCTTCAGTACCATCCTTGAACACTACTACTTCTTTGCCCACCTCTTCAGTAACACCCTTGAACAATTCTTCAGCAGCACCTTCAGTACCATCCTTGAACACTACTTCTTCTCTGCTCACCTCTTCACCTGCAGGGTGTGACTATGAAGTGTTCTTGAGTTTCAGGGGCGCAGACACCCGTAATAACTTCACTGACTACCTCTACCACGACCTTGTGGAAGCAGGAATACGCACGTACAGAGATGACAATGAGCTTCGCATTGGAGAGAATATAAGTGATGAGCTTCTCGAGGCAATACAGCACTCAAAGATATCCATTCCAGTCTTTTCCAAACGCTATGCTTCAAGTAAGTGGTGCCTGCTTGAGCTCACCAAGATGGTTGAGTGTAAGACGACTTTGGGGCGAACCATAAAACCCATTTTCTACGATGTCAAACCATCCGATGTGCGACACCAGACGGGGAGTTACGAAATGGCCTTCCAGGAACACGAGAAGAAATATGATAGTGCTATTGTGGAGGGATGGAAGAAAGCCTTGAGGGAGGTTGGAGAATTGAAGGGTTGGGAAGTTGCTGATAGGTAATTGTGTATATTTACTTATTATTAACTTTTCTGATTTTTTTTTTTTTTCCTTAAATGTAAAATTTCACTATTAGCACCAACTATGAACTTGTTTGATTCAGTTCATCTCTCAAATTTGACACTATAATTTTTTATTTTTTTGGTAAGTAAATTAAACACTAGAAAATACACTATTTAAATTAATTTACAAACAATAGTTTTTTTCAAATTGTTAATCTAATAATTTTGAAACTACTTTCTCTTGTTCAGTTTTCTAAAAATAGGACATATTTAGATATATGTGACATCAATTATGTTTGGCAGGAATCAAGGACAACTGGTAAAGGAGGTTGTTTCAGAGGTATGGGAAGAGTTGAAAAGGAACACATTGGTTGTAAATGAATGCTTAGTCGGAATTGAAGATCATGTAGAAAAAATGATGAAATTGTTGAGTGTTAATTCCAATGATGTAAGGATTGTGGGAATCCATGGCATGGGAGGAATTGGTAAGACCACTATAGCCAAGGTCATCTACAACCAACTCTCCCAACACTTTCAATCCTGTTGCTTCCTTGCAGATGTTAGAGAAAAAGCACAACACCAAAATGGTCTTGTTCATTTGCAAAACCAACTTATATCTAACATTTTAAAACAGAAACGTGCTGACATTAGTACTCTGGATGAAGGTATTAATGTAATCAAAAATAGATTTTCTGGGAAGAGAATTCTTGTTGTTGTTGATGATGCTGATAAAAAAATTCATCTTCATGCACTTGTGGGGAAGTGTGACTGGTATGGTTCAGGAAGTAGGATAATTGTCACAACTAGAAACAAAGAGCTTCTAAATCCAGAGGTCAATTGGAATTATGAACCAAAGGAATTGCATTTTGATCAATCTCTTCGACTTTTCAGCAGGCATGCTTTTAGAAGGGACCATCCTCCAGCAGGCTTTGATTCTCTCTCAAGAAAAGTAGTGGACACTACTGGAGGGTTGCCTTTGGCTCTTGAGGTGATCGGTTCATCTTTATCTGGCAAAGGAAAAGATTTTTGGGAAGCTACATTGAAGCAGTTGGAAAGAGAACTGCATGGTGAAGTAAAGGAGAAGCTGAGAATAAGTTACGAAGCATTAGAAGATGGCCAAAAAAAGATATTTCTTGATATTGCATGTTTTTTCATTGGAGTGGATAGAAGAATTGCTTTCCACATGTGGGAAGCATGCAATTTTTTTCCGGGAAAACAGATTGAAATTCTCCTTCTTCGGTCATTTGTGAAAATTGGAGATAACAATGAACTTAGAATGCATGATCAGCTTAGAGACCTCGGTAGAGATATTGTCCATCAGGAAAATAAGAATGATCCGGAGGAGCGTAGCAGGGTATGGGTTCATGACGAAGCCTATGAAATATTGCATAATAAGACGGTAAGATCCAACTCCTTCATGAATAGATGTCCCTCATTAAGTACTCTTAATTTTCTTGTCTCCTTACTAACACAATTATGTATGAACTATGAACTATGAACTATCCAAAAGTAGCCCTTTAAAGTAGGCCCCCGACCAAAGGTTTTTTCATCGATTAGTATACATTCTCTATCTACTTGGCCCATTTTAGCAGTTTATGTCGAGAATCTCTAGCAATTTCTCCTCCTCCCACGTTTTTTTCTATTTTCCTACACTTGCAGTTCAGTTATATCTGTCAAACTTACGTCTTTCCATATTCTTCTAAACTTCTTTTCATGTTTTTGATATGATCAAGCAGATTATATAATTATCTTTATCTTTTCTAAGTGAGAAAATCTTGCATCTAAAATTAATAAATTTCCGTGAAGTTATAAAAGAGATGAGTAGTGAGAAAATCTTGCATTCTAAACCTAATAAATTTTCTTGAAGTTATAAAAGAGATGAGGAATTAATAAGAAATTCCAACACTTTCAATAACACTTGAAATCAAATAAGGTTTTTAAGTAATTTGCGTAAGTCCGGTTCTATTGTTCTTTAATTTACTTTCTTTTCTTTTCTTTTCTTATCGGATAATGACTATAGTTTATCTATAAATATATTTATTAAGAATGTGAATTTGGATTAGTGAAAATATCTAAAAATAAAAAAGAAAGAGTTGGATAAATTAATTCTATTTTTAAAAATAAGGAGCTCTTGTAATGGTCGATAAACAAAATATTAAAAAAAAAAAATAAAATTATAGTAAATAAACTACCAAGTTTTCTAATAAAATTAGTAATTTTGCTTTTCAAAAGGCAAAAATAATGGTTTATAAATGTGTGTGTGTTTGTGTATATATATATTCATATAATCTGTTAATTAATATTCTACATGAAAATTCTCTTGTATTGTCTTCAGCATCAACTTATATTGAGCCACTGCCTGGTCAAAGCGAATGATATCATCATTAATATCCACGATAATTATAGCCTTTGTATATTTTTACTTATCTAAATGTTCTCTTTTGACAGGGAACAAGTAAGGTTGAAGCTGTCTGTGTTAACTTTGAATCAAGAGAGTTACAAGTAGAGATAGGACGGCTTACAAATGAAGAATTTGAGGCAAAGTTAAGACGGCTTACACATGAAGATTTTGCAAACCTATCTAGTCTAAGGTTCCTTCAAGTTGACTATGCAAACCTGGATGGAGATTTTGAGGGTCTTCTTTTAAAGTTAAGATGGCTTCGCTGGAACGGATGTCCTTATATTTTTAGACCAATCAATTTTCATCTAAAGAATCTGGTCATTCTTGATTTATCATGGAGCAAGGTCACAGAAGCCTGGGAGGGTTGGAATCATATCAAGGTTTCTTCAATTTCTCTGCTTTTGTTTCTGTGTGTTTTATCACATAATTCTTTGTAATTGATTCCAAACAATTCTCTTCTTTCCTTATTTCGCAGATGGCTAGAAAGTTGAAAGTTCTAAATCTCACAAGTTGTCGTTACATGGTTAGAACTCCTAACTTCTCTGCATTTCCAACTCTAGAAAGATTGATTCTTGAAGGCTGTGACAATTTGGTTCATATTGACCCGTCAATTGGGTTTCTCAAGAGTCTAGCTTTCTTAAATGTGAGGTATTGTTATGAACTCAAAAGTCTGCCTCTGGAATTTGATTTTGTGGAATCTTTAACGGAGCTCCTCATCGATGGTACTTCTATACAACAAGTCCCTATTGGTGGAGGTGTTATGAAGAATCTTGAAATTCTCAGTGCCAGTAATTGTGAGTCACTGACTCAAATTTCTACCTCAATCGGTGACCTAAAATCTCTGTCGTACCTTAAATTTGATGAGTCATGTATCACTGAACTACCAGACTCGATTGGTTTGCTAGTGAAATTGCGATGCTTGTCACTACATTGGTGCGAATTAAAACAACTTCCGGACTCCATTGGGAAATTGGAATCATTAATTGAGTTGCGCTTGTCAGAAGCAAAATTTACAAAATTACCTGATACCATTGGCAACCTAAAACAGTTGAGAATTCTTGAGATTCAGTTTTCTTTGATAGTGGAGCTACCAAGTGCCATCGGAATGTTACTGGAACTTGAAGTGTTAGATGCCTCGGGTTGTTTATGTTTGAAGAGGTTACCTGATCTATCTAACTTGGAAATGCTGAAAGAATTAAAGTTGTTCTTTTGCAAGAACCTACGTGAGTTTGAGGGTCTCAAGGGTTTGAAATCCTTGAAGACGCTAAACTTGTCAAATTGCGAAGCCTTGGAGAGGTTACCTGATCTATCGAACTCGGAAATGCTGGAAGAATTAGTCCTGTCCACTTGCACGAAGCTACATGAGATTAAGGGTCTTAAGGGTTTGAAATCATTGAAGACGCTTAACTTGTCAAATTGCAAAGCCTTGGAGAGGTTACCTGATATGTCGAACTCAGAAATGCTAGGAAATTTAAACTTCTTCCACTGCCAGAACCTACGTGAGTTTGAGGGTCTTAAAGGTTTCAAATCCTTGAAGACGCTGAACTTGTCAAATTGTGAAGCCTTGGAGAGGTTACCTGATCTATCGAACTCGGAAATGCTGGAAGTATTAGTCCTGTCCACTTGCACGAAGCTACATAAGATTAAGGGTCTTAAGGGTTTGAAATCCTTGAAGACGCTGAACTTGTCAAATTGCGAAGCCTTGGAGAGGATACCTGATCTATGGGGCTCGGAAATGCTAGAAGAATTAAAGTTGTCCAATTGCCAGAAGTTACATGAGATTAAGAGTCTTAAAGGTTTGAAATCATTGAAGACACTTAACTTGTCAAATTGCGAAGCCTTGGAGAGGATACCTGATATATCGGGCTCAGAAATGCTGGAAGAATTAAAGTTGTCCGATTGCCAGAAGTTACATGACATTAAGAGTCTTAATGGTTTGAAATCATTGAAGACGCTTAACTTGTCAAATTGCGAAGCCTTGGAGAGGATACCTGATCTATCGGGCTCGGAAATGCTGGAAGAATTAAAGTTGTCCGATTGCCAGAAGTTACATAAGATTAAGGGTCTTAAAGGTTTGAAATCATTGAAGACGCTTAACTTGTCAAATTGCGAAGCCTTGGAGAGGATACCTGATCTATCGGGCTCGGAAATGCTGGAAGAATTAAAGCTGTCCGATTGCCAGAAGTTACATGAGATTAAAAGTCTTAAAGGTTTGAAATCATTGAAGACACTTAACTTGTCAAATTGCGAAGCCTTGGAGAGGATACCTGATCTATCGGGCTCGCAAATGCTGGAAGAATTGAAGTTGTCCGATTGCCAGAAGTTACATGAGATTAAGGGTCTTAAAGGTTTGAAATCATTGAAGACACTTAACTTGTCAAATTGCGAAGCCTTGGAGAGGATACCTGATCTATCGGGCTCGGAAATGCTGGAAGAATTAAAGCTGTCCGATTGCCAGAAGTTACATGAGATTAACAGTCTTAAAGGTTTGAAATTCTTGAAGACACTTAACTTGTCAAAGTGCACAGCCTTGGAGAGGTTACCTGGTCTATCGAACTCTGAAATGCTAGAAAAATTGAAGCTCTACCAGTGCCAGAATCTATATGAGATTGGGGTTCTTAAGGCTTTGAAATCCTTGAAGATCCTGAACTTGTCATATTGCACAGCCCTGGATAGAATACCTGATCTATCGAACTACGAAATGCTAGAAAAATTGAAGCTCCACCAGTGCTCAAAGCTACATGAGATTGGGGGTCTGAAGGCTTTGAAATCTTTGAAGATGTTGGACTTGTCATATTGCACAGCCTTGGAGAGGATACCTGATCTATCGAACTTGGAAATGCTGGTAGTATTAAAGCTCTACCAGTGCCTGAATCTACATGAGATTGAGGGTCTTAAGGCTTTGAAATCCTTGAAGATCCTGGACTTGTCATATTGCATAGCCTTAGAGAGGATACCTGATCTATCAAACTCGGAAATTCTAGAAGAATTAAAGCTCTACAAGTGCCAGAAGCTACATGAGATTGAGAGTCTTAAGGGTTTGAAATCCTTAAAGATGCTGCACTTGTCATATTGCACAGCTTTGGAGAGGATACCTGATCTATCGAACTCAAAAATGCTGGAAGAATTAAATTTCAACAAGTGCCAGAAGCTACATGAGATTGAGGGTCTTAAGGCTTTGAAATCCTTGAAGATGTTGGACTTTTCATATTGCACAGCCTTGGAGAGGATACCTGAACTATCGAACTCCGAAATGTTGGAAACATTAAAGCTCTACATGTGCCAGAAGCTACGTGAGATTGAGGGCTTTAAGGGTTTGAAATCCTTGAAGATATTGGACTTGTCATATTGCACATCCTTGGAGAGGATACCTGATCTATGGAACTCGGAAATGCTTGAAAATTTAGTGCTTACCCACTGCCAGAAGCTACATGAGATTGAGGGTCTTAAGTCTTCGAAATCCTTGAAGATCCTGGACTTGTCATATTGCACAGCCTTGGAGAGGATACCTAAACTATCGAACTCTGAAATGTTAGAAACATTAAAGCTCTACATGTGCCAGAAGCTACGTGAGATTGAGGGTTTTAAGGGTTTGAAATCCTTGAAGATGTTGGACTTGTCATATTGCACGTCCTTGGAGAGGATACCTGATCTGTTGAACTCGGAAATGCTTGAAAAATTAGTGCTTACCTACTGCCAGAAGCTATATGAGATTAAGGGTCTTGAGGCTTTGAAATCCTTGAAGATGTTGGACTTGTCATATTGCACAGTGTTGGAGAGGTTACCTGATCTATCGAACTCGGAAATACTGGTAGTATTAAAGCTCTACCAGTGCCAGAAGCTACATGAGATTGAGGGTCTCAAGGATTTGAAATCCTTGAAGATGCTGGACTTGTCATATTGCACAGCCTTGGATAGGATACCTGATCTATCGAACATGGAAATTCTGGAAGCATTAAAGCTCTACCAATGCCTAAAGCTACATGAGATCGAGGGTCTTAAGGGTTTAAAATCCTTGAAGACGCTGGACTTGTCATATTGCACTGCCTTGGAGAGGTTACCTGATCTATCAAACATGGAAATGCTGGAAGAATTAAAACTCTACCAGTGCCAAAAGCTACATGAGATTGAGGGTCTTAATGGTTGGAAATCCTTGAAGACGTTGGACTTGTCATATTACACGGCTTTGAAGAGGATACCTGATCTATCAAACTCCAAAATGCTGGAAGAATTAATACTCTTCCGGTGCCAGAAGCTATATGAGATTGAGTGTCTTGATGGTTTGAAATCCTTGAAGATGTTGGACTTGTCATATTGCAAAGCCTTGGAGAGGATACCTGATCTGTCCAGACTAACAAATTTAGAGAAATTGAGACTTTGTAACTGTGAGAAACTTAGTGAGATTTGGGGACTTGAAGAACTGAAATTCTTAAAATTCCTGGACATTTCTGGATGCAAGTCACTAGGACACTTGCCAGCCATTTCGAACATCAAAACAGTTTGGTTTAACATGCAACATGATGGCATGGTAATTATCTATTTTCTCCTAATCTATGTTGTCTTTGTATGATGGTTTTTTTTCCTTACCTGATTGTTAATTGTGATTTCTTTCTCTGTGCTTTTTCAGGTAATTGATTTAACATCCATGCATGCCAGTTAACATTGAAGAACTATATTGAACACTAGTTTTTTGGCAGTTGGATCTAAGGTTGTTTTGGTTTTTATCCGTATATTATATGATTAAGTAGGATCATGGTTGTCTGTGCTTTAAATGTTAGAACAGTTTGGTTTCAGCACTTCAAGGGACACATTGTGAAAAAGTTGGAGTTAACAACAATCATTAGTTCTCATCACATGCACATTCTTGATCATTTTTCATGCTTTCATCGAAATGGAATTTTATTTACACGAGATAAACTTATTTGAACGCACTAAACTTCTCTCTCTCTTCACAAAATTTGTCGTCTCACTGCACAAAAAAACGCACAGAGCTTCTTTTTGTGTGTGTGTGTGTCGATGTTAGGGCTCAATTACTATTTTAATCAAGTTGTAGAGAAGGAGTTCCTAAACATGCATGTCTGTTTCATAGATTTTGTGTAGTTCTAATCAAATCAGTATAAATGATCACTAGTACTTTTATTGCCTAATTTCTCTGTCTGGAAGAATTTTCACATGGTAACAATTCCATAAGGAATATTATCACTCTCTAAATCCTAAGTATATGATTTCATGTGGAGGACTTGCTACTTATGTTATTTTTGTATCTTCTCAAAATATTTCCATAAGATACCTGATAGCAGGAATTTTGAAGCTTCACATTAGTTTTTAAAACAATTTGGAAATAACAATTTCAAATTATTTTTGTAAACTTTGTCTGATTTTTGGTGCAGGAAACAGACAAAGAGTAATGAGACAGTTCCTAACGCTCATATTAAAGCTGAAAAAAATTTCAGAGGTATTTACTTTCCTTATCAACTGCTAATGTGCAGAAATTTTGATATTTAATATGCTCGAATATTATATATTCTAATGGTTATATACTACTCAATTTTAGATTTATGTTAATAATTGTTATGCATACTCAAGAAGTCCTCAATTCTGGTTTGAGAGCTGGGAAGGACCAATGCTTCAATTTCTGCTTCTATATACTAGGAGATTGTAGGTAAACACAACTAGGAGATTCTAGGTCCAACTGAATTATATCATATTGTTTTAACCATATTTTGAATTTTGATGCTAAAAATGAACTCAAAGAAAAAGCTCATATTTGATGAGATGATTGTTCTTTATTGGCTTGTCTAAGCTAAAATTTTTGTACGGGTTGCATTTATTTTGCTAGAGCTCAAGCGCTTAAGCACCTCTTTTTTGCAACTAACAGGAGCTCTCATACTGCTTCATACTCCATTGTGGAAGTCTCCATATTCATATTGTTTCTACTTTAAAGACAGCAAATCAACCTCGTTGATCTTGTATTAATTGTTGCTTTTGTAGCTTGAGAGCAGAGTCAACAAAAAGTTACTGGCTTACTGCTTGAATTTCTTTATCTTATTTAGCACATTCATGGCAAGTAATACCACATAGAAAAGGGAATTTGGACTAATACTTTCTCCAAGTTTCCACTCCTAACCAAGTTTGAAGAACTGAAATGTCATATTTTCTTGATCCGTAAAAATTCTTGATTATTAGAAAATGATTGTAGTCTTTATTTTTTAGTTTCTACCTTCTATTTATTATTGCATGTATATAATCTTGATATACAGGTATGCATGATTTGATGGAAAATGCAAGTCCTGCTGGGAAAATCAATAGGAATAGGGAGATTGAAATAGAGGATTGTTCAAAATGTTCGGCAAGTGGTTCTCCCTTTACAAGCCGGAATAATATGGACATGGAAGGAGATGCAGAAAAGAAGCAACAGATGCTCATTCTTATTGGTTTTGAGGAAGTTCATAATTAAGGAATCCCAACACCTACTCAAACCTTTTGGGACTGGTTTGGTCTCTAGTATCATTAATCAGTCTCTAATATCATTCAGGTACATCTCTCCTTTCTTTCTCTGTCTCTTTCTCTCGCTCTCTCAACATGTGAAGTTCTATAGCCACAACTATTGCAAACATTGTATCATTTAGATAAAAGTCTTTCAAATTGCTTGAATTGTTTTTGGAAGTGTCAGAAACAACTATGGTAGTAACTTCCCTCATTTTGAGCAATTATGTGACTGTCAAACCATGCGATTTTTAAGTGCATAAAACTATTTTTGAGGGACAGTTATGAACTTATGAATGAAAGTATTAACACTATGATACATTGATACCCAAGGGCAACATTGCTCAAAAGACGAGCAACTTAAATATTGAGAAAATAGCAGACTGAAAGCAAGTAAATGTCTTGTTTCTGCAATTGGCGTCGAGTAGCTTTGTTTTCAGATAGTGACAGAAAGCGAAAGAATGTTCGCAAGGAACGAGGGTTACCTTGAATCCACAAGCTATGTAGTTTTAATCCACAAACTAAAAGAAAATTCATAAAGAATTCTGAAATATTATTGATGAAAGGTTTAAATCTGCTATTGCACAACATGAATATTTATAATAGAGAAACCCTAATACTATAAGGAAACTAATTCCTAAAAAAAAAAAATCATAAGGTAATCTAATAATAAAAAAAAAACTAAAAATATAAAGAATCTAATGCAAGAAGGAAATTAAAAACCTAAAATTAAACTCCCTAAAATATATGTGTGTGTATATATATATATATATATATATAAAGCATATTAAAACTATCCTACATCCGTCTTCTCCACTTTAAAAAAATTCGTCCTCGAGTTTCCTTGTGACTAATCATATAGTAATATAAACAAAATTTTATACCATTGAGTACCTGCACTTGATGATTCATAAACTTGCTCTAGATTTCCTATCCATGTATTTTCTTTTTCCTTCAACTGCAAATATTTTGGAACGCTCAATTCTTCAATAATGAGTGCATCTCGATTAGGATGTGTATTCCCATAAATTGGGCCTTTGCTGGATGGCAAGTGTAATAATGCTAGGACCTTTAACTATAGCTTCTTTAATGGATTTCATAACAAACCCAAACGTCCCATTAATAAGCTTATTACCATCCACTTGACAATTGCAATTAGAAACCAAAAAGGTTAAGATGTTGGAAGGTTTCTTGCCCAGTAGCAGCTTCACCCAGTTCTCCAACTTTAATAAGATTGTCAAAGTACATCAAATTGTCCATTCCAACTTCAAGCTCTTCTGGATCCCTATCATCACTTGGGTAATAGGGTTCTCTAAGCCTCACAATTGACTGCTCAATAATATCATAATCTTTGTCATCATAGATTTTCAAGTCTACCTCACTCAAACCATCGGCTATGTCTTCATAGTGAGTCTCTGAAGTTATATTCTTGAAAGTCTCTCCAAGTGCATCTTCGACTGCTAAAATATGGACAATTTTAGCCCCTTCAACTATAAGAGGTGAAGCAACATAACTTTCCTTCTGACCAATCTCTCGAGAATTACTGTTTGCTTCAACAAAATTATCGGTATTCTCGATGCCACCATCATTCGACTCGTTGACAAGTTGTCTCTCTTTCCCACAACTTTGATATTGGTGATACAACATCTGATAACTTGGTGGTAAAAATTTAGCAATTAACAACCTTTTCATCTTTGACCATGATTGTACAGATTGTTTTCCTTGCCTTCTACGGTTGTTCTTTACCTGTTCCACCAAGCTAAAGCTCCTTTCTTAAGCATGATTGCTACAAGAGGAACTTGCTTGTGTTTGGGTATATCAAAATACTCGAGAAAGTAATCAACTTCATTAAGCCAATCCAAGACATCCTCAGCACAAAAAGTAGAAGTGAAAATAAGTGAATCAAGTTTTTTCTGAAACTAACGATTGTCCGGATATTTGTAGTTTTTGTCGCGTCTCCCTCTGAATTCGTACTCTTCATCACCAGAATAATCGCATAGGCTAGAGGCCTACGTGGATAAACAGGAACATAACCCAAATTCGGTTGGCTGCGAAACACATCATCAGCGCGAACATGAATTGAACCACGAACCTGGTTGCCACCAATTCCAAAACCAGTTGCTATGAACCGATCTTGAGTATGCATAGCTGCCCAAAGAGGCCTTCACTCTGCGATCATCGTCGGCAAAGTGGATGCTACCAAAACGAGCAATCATCATAGCCCAGTGTAAATCAAGGCTCTGATATCAACTGATGTAGCGGAAAGCAATAAAATGTTCACAAGGAACGAGGGTTACCTTGAATCCACAATATATGTAGTTTGAATCCACAAACTAAAAGAAAATTCATAAAGAATTCTGAAATATTATTGATAAAAAAAATATATATATATATAAGGTAACCTAATAATAAAAAGAAACTAATACTATAAAGAATCTAATGCTAGAAGGAAATTAAAAACCTAAAATTAAACTTCCTAAAATTTAAAAATAATAAAAATAAAAATAATATAAAGCATACTAACTGTCCACACCAGATAGGTTTTGGCAAGAAAGCAGACCAAGAGCCTTGAGGATGCAGAAGAACGGATGGGAAGAAATGGAGGTGCTCAAAGGTAGCATAGCCAGACTCCAAACCCGAAGTGTGAAGAAGCTTTGTTCAGAACATCTTTGGTGTCAAAGGCAATATGTCAGACAAGTGAAGAAATTAAAAGTAGTGAAGAAGGAGCAGGAGCATCGGGAGCAAAAGTTACTCCGGAGCTAGAGGGAAAAGGTGGGCTATGAGAAACAAGAGGATGAGAACTGTGAGGAGTCATGAAACACGAGATCAAAGTATATTGTTGTAGCAGTTTGGAAGAAGAGTTTGAATGTTGAACGGCCGCATTCGTATGCCATATAAATTATTATATTTCTCCTGAAATTTCCTTTGTATCATATGATACTGATGTTTATGTAAATCTAAAGTTCGTTTGATTCTTTTGATATAATTACCCCATGTGGAGATGCTAATTAAATACAAAAGTCATGTTTCAGATGAGCAGGAGAGCTATAGTGTGATAAAGTTGAGAACCTATGCTAGCAGGTTTTATCACTTTTAGCGGGAGATGTAGTGTATTTACAATCTCTACCAAGGGAAATTGTCCACAACGGATTTTTAGGCCGTCTCTAAGTGAGTTTACAGGTTCTGACTAGCAATTGTGGTCTCATTCGTAGTATGACGCCTATTTCTCAATCAAATCTTCTTATCGCATTGCAAACGGTAGCAGTAGGGGCCATAAATTTTTCCGAGGCTTTTGTAAACAGCTTTGAAAAATCAGAGCAACTGCCAAGGTATTGGATGATGATGAGCTATGTAAAAAATGTGTCCTGGGTGGTGAATCGGTGGACTACTTAATACTGGATTGCCTGTAGTAGTAGAAATTTAGAAGCTAAGCCGAATGAGTCTGGATTTTGAGTAATATAATTACTTAGGGCCTGCTTTGTTTGTAAACTGAAAACAAAAAATTCTTAAAAAAACCTCTTGGTTTAGTTTTCTAAAAATTATTTAATGAAAATTCAGTTATAAGAAGGCTTGTTTTCAGATAACTTGTCTTTTATAGTTCTCTAAAAATAGTTTTATGTTTTATAAATTCTTGAGAACTGTGGCCCTTAGAATCTTCAATAGTGGCCTATGTTTTTTATGAAACAATGGAAAAACTCAGATTCTGTACTAGGCTCTTTGAGCCTAGTTGCCTGTATATGTTGGAATATTTGAAGATGCCGAAAATAAATCTATGTATGAGGAGAAATTTTTGAATGAGAATGACATCCTCGCTTGGTAGGAATTCAAGAGAATCCAAGCTGATCGCGAGTCTCACAATCAAGTAAAGGTGCATTTTGATGCAGCTTTTCATGAGAATTCATCAATTGCAGCGAGTCGTCTGGATAGGGACTGTGAGGGCAGTATTCTTGGAGCTGTGGGTTGTTTTTGTCCCTCATATTCGACCATGGTTGTTCAAATGAATGGAAGATTTTTTCCACCAAGTTTGCTTCTTGAGATTTTATTATTATTATTATTATATTTTATTTTTTATTATTATATTATATATACATACAGGAAGGCTCTTATGTGGTCCAAAACAATAAACTTTTCAACGGACTAAAAGTCAATTAGAAAAATTACACTTTATTACTTTATCATACCTAACTATGGTTAATTTACCATAATTAGTCAATACTTTTATTAATTTTTCAATATCTCTCTCCTTAATTTTTTCCATCGTCCCTACAATTTCAACCACTACCGTCATTTCCACACAATCACAGCCACCATCTTCACCACTATACTCACAACAACTATCAATTTTTTAGAGACCTTTTATAACTTTTTATGGCAGGATTAAACAATATATGCTTTCTGTTTGAGACTTCATTATTGGAGGTTGTGCTTATTCACGAATCTTAAAAAATTGGTATCCTTTGAACCAAAAAAAAAAAAACATTTATTCACGAAGTGTGGAATAATGGGTTAACAAAAAAAATAAAAAATAAAAAAATAAGAAAGTAACAGTCAAACCATTGAGGTAAAAAATTAATAACAATAAAGAGAGCAAAAAATAATAAATTAAAAATTTTATCAAACAAAAAACATATATTACTTAACCTGCCATGGAAACAATAAAATGTCTCTAAAAATTTGGTAGTTGTGTTGTGACTGTAGTGGTAAAGATGGTGACTGTGATGGTGTAGATATGGCGGTGGTGATTGAGATTGTAAGAGCGATGGAAGAGATTAAGGCAAGAGAGATTGAATAAAGGAATTGGCTAATTATAGTAAATTAACTATGATTGGGTCTGATTAAGTAATAAATTGTAATTTTCTTAATTGACTTTTGGTCAGTTGAAAAGTCCATTATTTTGGATCGCATGAGAGCCTTATATACATAATCATCTTAATTTTTAAAAATAAAAATAAAAAAATTACAAAAACACTCGGTTGTGTCCAAAAAGAAGTTTTAGGACACTTATAGCCACAATACTTTCGTGCTTTCTAACCTATAGTTGCACTTAAATTGCTACCTCAAAAACTGAGTTACTGTGACAATTTCTACATTGGTTTTTACACTACTAGTCAAAACACTCTTAAGAGAAATTGTTTGTTCTGGTGATATCACTATCCCAAAGGTTTTTAATGAAAGGTTTGTTTTAAAAACAAACAAAAAATTGAATTTGTTTTTTAAAAAAAAAACTTTCCTCGATAATAATATTTGGTGAAGATTCAAATTGGGAGGGAAATAGAATTTATGTCTAAGTATGAAAATAACAACAGAATATTTGGCAAAAATAAAGAGTCATCTCAAGACTGAAAGGCATGCCAAATTCCAGCCCCAAAGAAAGAGACTATGTTAAAAAGGAAATCTATTCAAACGGGCGCTATGGAATCAAGTGATCAAAATCAAAGTCCACAAAACTGAACCTGAATGAGATGGATTAAATTTCCAACCAAATATACATTTAATTAGATTAGGACGTAGGCCTTAGAGGTGTGGCTATGAAGAAAGTTTCAACTCAGAATAAGATCCGTAAAAATCCATAAAAATTAGAAACAATTAATTTTGATTCCAATCAAACAACAATGACATTTGGTCTTAGTGACATTAAAACTTTGCCTAAAAAAACATAGTTCAGAAAAATACCTAAGATATGGTCTAGTCACATGTACAGAAAAAATCATTATACATGATGTACACATCCCCATCAATACAACTGTATGAAGTAATACAAGACAACCAAGTAGATTTAGAGTAGTGTTTTCTTTTAAGTTCATACTTTCTTCCAAACTTGTGTGTAAAAGTTCAGAGTATTTAAGTACTTTGTATTGAGATTTCTTTTAATAAAATAAGTAAACTCCTCTAAATACTCCATAGAAAACCTTGAAGCAATATTTCTTTTGCTTCTTATATCTTGTGAATTTTTATTCCTTATTTGTCAAATCCAGTAAGCCATTGGTGTTGGTATAAGGCTATCTCTAGTGGGAAAAGTTTGACCAAGTGGTGGCTAGCACTGTTAGGCACGAATCTGTGTGGGTGCATACGACCCCACTGAAATTTTTTATTATTATATTTTATATCCCTAAATTTATAATTTTTTATATTTATACCCAAAAAATTTGGTAATTACCCTCACTGAAATTATGAAAAAAAATCCTATATATAAATTTGCTCCCTTCATATGAATTCCTAGATTCGCCCCTGAGTGCTGCTAATCTCGAAAGAGGCTAACTTCTTAAAGGTTATATATTTAAAGTATTATGTAGCAGTGTGGTGGACATATATTAAATTTATTTTATATTTTAAAGTTTTTATGTTATAATAGTGGTGTTTTAAACCATTATAATAATATAAATTGTTGTGTAGTTCAAAGTATAAATTAAATTCAAGAATATGAAATAATTGGAGTCAAACACTCATTTATTGTTTTTTTTATTGACTTTGACATCAGGGTATAGTACATATAACTCCATAAATCCATGTATTAATAAAAAATTAAAAAAAAATCCTTAATTTCTTGGAACATTAAACGTGTTTATATAATTTCTTGGAACATTAGACTAATCGCTTGACTCTAGAATTGTGCTTATCCTATGATGATGATCATTAGATTATTACAAAATGACACTATTTAAATTTATTTTCAAGTTGGAACATGACTTTAGCTTAATGAGCATTAATAAAATTAATTAAACCAGATTAAGTCACACTATTCAATTCCATGTTAAGAGTACAGAATATCCTCCGGTGAGGTCATAAGATAATTACATAACATGAGTTTCATTGGATGGAATTAACATTGTTTAGCAACAATGAGCACTAAAATCAAAACAAGTCACTTAATCTCATTAAACTATAGATGCTACTCTCTGATATGGTCTATAGATTTAAAAAGTGGTATTAATCAAGCATGGTTTTCATTGCCACCAATTACCATTTCGGTAACTTGCATTAAAATATATGATTAAGTTCTCTAATTTCAATGGACAATAAGCTATATTTTATGACCGATCCAAGATTAACAAATTTTATTAGCTAAACACCCCTCAAAACATAATGCTATAGTTAGATATTAAAGCAAAGTTAAAAATTAAAAAATTAACAAAAATTATGTGGACAGACCAATAGGAACATGTGCCATGTAGCTACCGATTTAATTAAGCAATCAAGAGATTCATGCCTTTAGTAATGAATCATGTTAGCCTCCATTAAATTCATTATTGTAGTCATTTATCGGAGGCATAAACACGTCAACAAAAGTAAGCCAACTTAAGAAGAAAATAAATTTACTCACCTCTCATATGATGTAGTATAATTGCATTATCCTCTCTCTTGATGTTAGTATTTTGTAATATATTCCTCTATTATGTTGCTGGTTGTTAAAAGTCAAATGACATAATTTGTATATGTTATCAAAATTGTGTGAGATATGAAATTTGTAATTGGCAAATTTCGTTGTCAAAACAAGTCCGATCGAGTTGTGATTTTAAGTTCAAATTTCAAATTCGAGATTGGAAGCGGGATTGAAGAGTTTTTCGTGATCAATAGCATGATGACATTGAAAAGGGTTAGAACAACACCTTAGTAAGCTTAGTTAGAAGGTAAGGACACTTGCATATTTTCGAAAAATAAGCATTGTCGAATTTTTCGAAATGTAAAAGCTTTTAGTTCAGGTCTGGCCAACTTGAACCAGTTCAGGAGCAGCTGAACTGGTTCAAGTGTTAAAGCTTTGTTTTTTTTTAAAAATACACTGGCCAACTTGAATCGGTTCAAGGGCTTCTAAACCGGTTTAAGTCTTTCAGCAGATTGTGGTAACTTTGTTTCCTACTCTGTTTTAACTTCCTATTTTATATAGAATTTCTCCTAAAAGCTCATGCATGAAATTGACTTGTTTTCCAAGTACAATTAGGGTTTCTAAAGTCTATAAAAATATATTTTTCTCACTTAGGTTGATACGACTTTTTGCATTAAAATTCTGATTTTCATTGAGAGACTTTTTTCAAAATTTTTAAGAACATACACACTATATACACATCAGTGAATTATGGTGTTGTCTAATTCCTGATCAAGTTCAAGTCCATTGAAGATTGCATCTACAATGATCAGAGAAATCATATCTTATTTCTTCTACAACAAATTCATATTCGAAGAAGAAGATTTTTCGATCACACCTTGAAGGGATCAAGGCACTTACGGAGTGTTGTTAATCTACCAACAATCCTTCAACAAG